ATAAACGGAAACATCGGCACATATAGATATGTAGATCTTGAAAATCGAGTTGTTCAAAACATAAAAATAGCGTTCATAATTGGACCATTTGTTGGTTGAGATGTTGCAAAGGAAATATCTGCTGAACCTTTCATCTCTATAGTTTGGAAGCCACCTTTATTAAAACACATAAGCCTGTCCTTTACCGACAAAACGAATTCCTATACAATCTACACATCCTTCAGTAGGTCTCTGACATTTCCTGATTGGCTTAAGGACATACCAATCAGTTACTGCCTTACCGGCCTACGTTGATCTGACTCATTTTATAAGCTGTACTATTTCCTATAGATCATTTTCCAGACCGTTCTGCTATGATTAGTGTCTGGTGAAAAGCTTCAGCAGATATTTCCTTTGCAACATCTCAACCAAAAAATGGTCCAGTTATCAACACTATTTTCAAGTTTTGAACAATTCGACTTTCAGCTAACAGATGTTCCTGCATATAAAAGCTATCTTCAACATTATAATAAGTAATTTACATTAAATTTCATACTTATTGGATGGGTGGTGAATAAACTAGAGATGACGGGATGCTTAGAGAAAAAATGTCGCATTTCTCACATTCATGATTTTTTAAAATACTGCCCTATATAACTAAGAACATAAAACATATATTCTATTAAAATATGGATTATTGGATATGATTTTATGCTATACCAATTGGAAACTGATTAAATTTTGAATGTTAATAATTAAAAACCTCATGACGTGCAGTAAAGGATGCTTGTGCAGAGAGGGTTAAATGGTTCCCTGTTGCTCTGATTTACAAGCCAAAAATAATAGGTACAGCTTAAAGAAATGGTCATTATTTTGATCTTGAGATTTAACCACAAAAACATGAAACTTTCAAATCACATAATCAATTATGCTTTATTTGTAAAATGTTTTCAAACATTATTTATTTTGTCTGGTTGAAAATTATAGTTCACATTCCTTCTCATATTAATTGCTGATAAAAAAATTTTCAATTCACATGAAAATTTCAAATTGCTTAACACCATATTTCTTTGGCAAAGATGTAATTGGTGCACTCACATACCAATCAAATTCAAGGAAAGGTTAGTGCATACTTGTTGTCTCTGTAATGGCTTAATGAATCAACAGGATATTTGTTAAGTCAAGTTATTACATTAGGAAAAAAAGATTTTGGAGTGATAAGAAGCTTTCCTTTTAGCCAAACTACTACCACAATCAATGTCGATTCCAAGAAACACACATGAGTAGCAGCAATATAAAGAAAACGTTTACAATTGCAACCAAGTCAACTGGGGAAGAAGAAATATACTATTAATCCCAACATTCAAGAAAGTTTTGGGAATACCCACAAAATCATTAGTAGTGCACAGTACACAGTTTCTAAAACTGGTGGTGCACTTGCACTACCACACATATATTTTCAATAATGTAAGAACTGAAATCTGATAATTTTCAGGTCCTGATAAGAGATTTAAATACTCTTAGCTATGCAAGTATGCACCACAAAGCATGAACAGATTGATTATGCCACATCATATTTCCCTTGCACCACAATAGATTTGAGATAGGCTTTCCTTTAAAATTGACATTGTAAGTTAAAATAACACTGATTATTTTATATAAATTTGATATAAATAAAGGTTTCGAAGGTTCAATGTTTTTTTTTAAATTTATTTATTTATTATACATCAATGGGCCAGTTACCTTAAGAATCAAGGTATAATTTTCTTTCAATGTTAAGTAAAAAATTACAGAACATTTTATGAAAAAAAAATGTGAATGATTAACAATGAAAAGAAATATTTACCTATTTGAAATTAGTTTAGTAAGATTCTCTGTCTCTGAAGTTGTTGGTGATAGCACAGGTTTTTGGTTGTCAACATTCTGATTAGTCCTGGTACTTAAGTCGTGTCGATAAATATTCCTGAATGATGATACATGAGCAGCTCCAGAATGATGTTTTTGTTGTAATTTTTTTGAAGAAACATTAACATTCTCAAACCATGGTAACTCACCACCACCTTGAGTTATGCCTTGGAAATGAAAAGGACTCAACTCACTAGAATTAGTATTTTCTAACTCTTGGCTACTTGTTTGGCTGCAAATATCTGGGCCAAAATACTGGTATCTGCAAATCAGAAATATGTAAAGCAACAGTACAAACAATATTATTGTGTTATATTTTCTCAAACATAAATATGTCATAACAGGAGCAAGAACATGAACATGTTACTTCTGAATATTCCTCTTACACACACACACACACACACACACATACATATATATATATATATATATATATTAAATTTTTTATAGTTCTTGCAAAATTTAACATTTTCTAACATTAAAAATGTATTTCTGATAGGTACTTACCTCTACTCGCTCAAGGCATTGGCAAATCTTATGAATAGCGCACCAGTCTTTTATACCCCTATATTTTTTTAATCATTGCAACAACATGTACTGATCATGTGACCACCTTCCACCAATTCTATTGCATCCTATATACTAGTGCAAGTTGCAGCACAATCCTCATTTTCAATAACTGGTATATACAACCCCAAAAACACAGGCAAATCAGTGGGGAGGAAGGGTGGGAAGTGGTTGAGTAGAGGTAAGTACCTATCAGAAATACATTTTCAGTGATAGAAAATGTTAACTTTTGAAATGGTACTATCTATACTCCCCCATAGCTAGAATCCCACATGGGAAATGTGGAAGTGCTGGTGAAAGCACAAAAAACAAATAATTTGGTGGAGAGCGACCATTATGAAAAAACAAAAATAAACAGGTATGCCAATATTAAAATACGAGGCACACCTGTGGGGTATAGCACTACTTCTGGAACAGGTATGCTCTTCACCAAATAAAGAAGATAAGACATATAGGGCAAAAAGGAAGAGAATATGTGGCTACGGCTAGAGGACCATACATATGAATAGGCCAAGTGCGGTCTGCCCAGGCAAAAAACATTCAAGGGAAGTGCCTTGGAATATGACTCATTATGCCAAGTGCAGTCCAAGGACAAAAACAACATGGAAGCACCTTGCATAAGTTTGTAAAATCAACAAGGGTGGTCTGCCTGGGCAAAAATATCCAAGGGAAGCCTCTCGGTATACATTGGATTATATCAAGTGCAGTCCATCTGGGTAAAAACATCTAGAGGAAGTGCCTTGCATAAGAGATTTCATTCATATGATATGTGTAATATGCAGCATAAAAATGATAGAGAAATTGACAATTCCAGTACACATGGGCAAACACATCCAGGGGAAGCACCTTGGATTGATATCAAGATAGCCAAGTGAGGTCCACCCAGGCAAAAACATCCGAAGGAATCCCCTTCGTATACATTGGATTATGTCAAGTGCAGTCCATCTGGGCAAAAACATCAAGTGGAAGTGTCTTTCATAATAGACATAGTGCCATATTGTGTGTACAATATGTAGCATAATGACAATAACTCTCTTTTCATTGAATGAGCTCATATGCATATGAGATTTTTTTGTTGTATAAAACCCACTCGTGACGAAACCTCCACGGTCCACCACTCCAGCTACTGGGAACCAGAAGTGGTAAGGACCCTTGTGCTCCACTAGAAGAAAGAGGGGGGGATTGGAAGGTCTGGAGGAACAACCCACCGGAGACAGTGCAATGGGTGTTTGCATTTCTTTATTTTGAAAAGCGGAAAGATCCGGATTGTAACAATCACAGGTCAATAGAGATGGGCAAAAATCCCTATCTACTTTACTCATGAAGTCCATAAGTGACAGTGTTCAGGATATATATAGACAGATACACCACTGGAAAACAGAAACACCCCATCTCCACAGTGAGCATTAGAAAGAAGTAGAGTAAATGATAGTATAAAACGATTCAACATTCCTGAACAGGCAACACCCGCCACCAAGTGGAATCTAGAAATGCAAAGGAAAACAACTGTTTCTGAAATAGTAAAAAAAAAAGAATGCATAAGTGAAACCAAAATGTCAACTTACTCCAGTTAACGGGGAACAGATGTATGGAGAATCATCACAGACGGAAGATGATACCAAACTAAGGAGGATACAATATTGTGCAAATAATGTGTGATGAATGTATTGGGAGTTGTCCACATTCCTGCTTGTACAATCTCCTCCAAAGATTGCTTGAATGAACATACTGATCAAATTTAGGGTCATGAAACAACTGTCATGGTACCCCATGCAGTGTCTTAAATATATAGAAAGAAGCTAGCAAGGAACTAGCATATGGTACCAGTATATTATAGAATAAATCAGTTTAATAGCACTCCACAAATAAACCTTGATAAAAACAGTGATTAACACTATATATTAAGTTTTGTTGTCATGCCACGGCCCAAAAAGTGTAGAGAATTGTCAGTAGAACAGAGAGTTTGCATAAAAGCTTTTTGTGATGCTGGTTGGACTCTCCGACAAATTGCTGCAGACTTGAAATGCTCCCCAAACACTGTCAAGTACACTGTAGATCGTGATACTGAGACATGTAAATTTGAAAATAGGAAAGGAAGAAGCAGAACACCTAAACTCAATGATAGTGATGTTAAATATAATAGTTTATGCAGTCTTCGGGACACAAGGAAAATTGTCACTGATCTCAAGCACGAGATAAACGACCATGTACCAAATGACAGAAATGTGTCCAGATCTACAGTATCAAGAAAACTCAACAAGAATGGAATATTTGGTCATGTAGCTTTTAAAGAACCTTTACTTCAATCTCCAAATATTGTCAAAAGACTGAAATTTGCTAAATAGTACAAAAACTGGACTTTTGATAATTGGAAAAAGGTGTTATGGACAGATGAGTCCAAATTTGAAATATATGGTTCAAAATGTAGGTTGAACGTCTGGAAGAAGAAAGGTGAAAGATAATTACCTCAATGCATAGCACCTACCATGAAGCATGGGGGAGGCATGATGGTTTGGGGGTGTTTTTCTGCTGAGGCGACTGGAGATATCTGCAAAATAGATGAAATAATGGACCAGCACAAGTATTATCGGATAGTGATTCGTTATGGTATATCCAGTGGTTTCCGTATTATTGGTAAAGGATTCTATTACCAAGTAGATAATGACTCCAAACACTCATCCACCTTATGCAGAAATTACTTAGCTAAGAAAGAAGCTGCTAGAATCATTCAAATGATGCAATGGACCCTACAGAGCCCCGATCTCAACGCCACTGAGCAGATCTGGGAGTTGACAGATCAAAAACTTGACAAATCAAAAGTTAATTCCAAAGAAACTTTATGGGAGGGTATTAGAGATATTTGGAGTAAAATTCCAAAGGACACTTTGATTAAATAAGTTCTAACAATGCCTGAAAGACTGTCAGCAGTTATTAAAGCAAAAGGGGGACACACAAAATATTAACTGTTTGCTGAACTCAAGCACTTCCACTGAGTTTCTGTTGTATTAAATATGAAGATTAATAAAATTTTGAGGTTTAACCAGTGATTTACCTTCCACTGTTCTTTGAAAGTAGCCTGAAATTTAATTTTTGACTTTATCCTAACACTTTTGCACAGTACTGTATATATATAAAGCACAAAAATCTGTGCTTGTCTGTCCATTATCTAACTGCTCCTAGGTTCTGGGCCAATTTCAACCAAACTTCGTGGAATGACAGTTTGGAACAAGTGACAACACAAACATCTTATATATCTCAGAGAGTGCACTAACATTCTCTATGGAGGAATGAAATGAAAAAAATGGCTGCCACTATTGCAATAATACATAAACTCAGCTGAAGTTTCTACTCCACCAGTCACTATAAGGCTAATATGAAGAGCTGTTTTTTGAGTTATAACCACTTCCTACTTTGACCTGTGACCTTTCAACTTTGGCCCATAAGACACTTCTGCAGCCAATGACTGTCAATTAATTAGTCACATAAATCACTGTGGAAGGACATAAAGAGCTGGATGTTGAAAGCAGGTATGAGAAAGCATGCATATTGCACTAGTTTGGCCACTACCTTTTCCTAGAAAGTCACCTTGACCACCACAAAATGTATACCATATTTTAAGTATATACATAGTGAGTTCTTAAAGCTTATACAAAACTTTTGCCGAGGTAATAATGAATGCTGTAATAATGTTATGTTATAAACAAAAATTGTGTGAAAGTTAGGATTTTTGTATTTTTTTATCAAAGCATTCACCCAAACATTTGTTTAAGTTCATAACCTGGACAAAGGACAGGTACCTCAGCTTGTTGATAATAAAGAAGTTTAATTGAATTTTGAGTGTAACTCTATAAAATGTCATGATGTGTACAATTTGACCTACCCATAGTGAGAGGGTTAATACTATATGATTATCCTTCCTCAGAAAGGACTAGGACATATCTTCGTGTCATATGTATACCAGAGGTGGCATTTCACATTGAATGGAGAGTTCTCTATGAACAAAATACATGAGAGCTAAACATGTCACCCATGACTCCGTGCACAGCACTCATATAAAAAGCAACATGACACTGCACAAGCATATTCAAATTGTTATTATTAAGTGCATTAAACCTATGTAACTCAACCAGAAGTTATGAAATAAATCAACATTATGAGATTTGTTTTAATAAATTTCAATAAAAGAACAATGTACATGCAACATGAAAGTAAGATACCAAGAACACAATGAAAACTGCTTGAAATCCTCTTAGAACTAATTAACATATCTAAATAAATTTGTATAGGCTTTTGCCTCTATAATATAATAAAGACTTCATCTGAGATTTTTCAACGACATTGTTTCTCTATACTTGTATAACTAAAACCAGAAATTGGCAATAAGTAGAATTTCCCAATCAATTATTTGCATGAGACTGAAGAGTGGAAATAAAAGAAAATAGTAAAAAACAGAAACAATAATTTTGATTAGTAGATTTTCATGACATTTGTCAATTTCGTTGTAATTTCAATTAACTTACAATACTAATGATGTAATCAATTATAATAATTAATCTTGTTAATTGCCCAACTTTAGCTATAAAGCAGTATTTAATTTTAATTCTAGTCAAATATTGAAACTTTGGCAAATTGTATAACATTGTTACAGCTAAAAATTGGAAATAGTGCATGCATAATTTTATAAAAGTTAATTTTCCTCTTTAATTAGTTAAGTGTAGCTTTTTTAATACTGGTGCTTACCAAGTACAATCAAACATCTATCAGTGGTTTGTTACAGTGACAAAAAAAACCAAAAAACCTTTATACTTTATTAGGATCATGAGGAGAACGACTGAGGGTAGCGCCACCGGCGTCCAGTGGACCCTCACCAAACAGCTGGAGGACCTGGATTTTGTGGATGATGTCAGCCTTCTGTCCCATAAGCAACAGCATGCACAGTCCAAGCTCACCCAGCTCGCTTAGGAGGCAGGAAAGACTGGCCTGAAGATCAACACCAGAAAGACTGAGGTGATGCGGCTGAATAACAAACAAGGGTGCCCACTGTAGCTGCAGGGAGAAGACATCAAGGAAACAGAGCGCTTCGTTTACCTTGGAAGCATAGTAAGCAGAGACGGCAGTGTAGATGAAGACATTAGGAGCCGGATCAACAAAGCAAGGCTCGCGTTCAACACCCTGCGACCCATCTGGAACTCCAAAGCCTTATCTTCAACACAAATGTAAAAGCAATCCTCCTGTATGGGTCCGAGACATGGCGAGTTACGAACACTATCACCAACAAGATACAGACGTTCATCAACAAGTGCTTGCGACACATCCTAAACATCAGGTGGCCAGAGAAGATCTCAAACACAGAGCCATGGAAAAGGACCAACCAGAACCCAGTCAGCCAAAACATCAGGAAAAGAAAATGGGGCTGGATTGGACACACACTGCGAAAACCAGTCGACAATGTTACAAGGCAGGCCTTGGACTGGAACCCACAAGGGAAAAGAAAAGCTGGGAGGCCAAAACAGACGTGGAGGAGATCGGTCGGGAGTGAAGCGAAAACCGCCGGAATGGCGTGGACCCAGCTAAGGAGAGCAGCCCAGAACAGAGTCCGTTGGTGAGGTGTTGTTGCAGCCCTATGCTCCACTGGGAGTCTACAGGATTAAGTCAAGTAAGTTGACCATATACAACAAAATTCCTGGCAATAATAAACTCAAACCCAAGTCAAAAACAATTAGTAACAGCAATAGCCCTACACCTGAATTTAAAAAACTTACAGATAACATTAACCCCAATCATGAAACCAAACAAGTTCTAGAGAGTAAAAGCCACATATTTAAGTTTAACATTACTTTCAACTGCCTTCACCTGAATATAAAGAAGTTGCAAATAGTAAAAGCCCACATCAGAAAAGAAGTAAAATAGAGATAATAAAAACCCACACTCCAAGAGAAACAAGTAACAGGTAGCAAAAGTCTCATACCTGAAGAGAAACAAGTAACAAGTATTAAAAGTTTCATATCTGAAGAGTAACAAGTAACAAGTATTAAAAGTTTCATATCTGAAGAGTAACAAGTTACAGGTAGCAAAAGTCTCGTACCTAAATAGACTCAAGTTACAGGTACCAAGGGTCTTACACCTAAAGAGAAACAATTAACAGATACCAAGATTCTAACACCTAAAGAGGAACAATTAACAGATACCAAGAGTCTTGCACCTAAAGAGGAACAAGTAACAGATACCAAGAGTCTTACACCTAAAGAGGAACAAGTAACAGATACCAAGAGTCTTACACCTAAAGAGGAACAAGTAACAGATACCAAGAGTCTTACACCTAAAGAGAAACAATTAACAGATACCAAGAGTCTTACACCTAAAGAGAAACAATTAACAGATACCAAGAGTCTTACACCTAAAGAGGAACAAGCAACAGATACCAAGAGTCTTACACCTAAAGAGAAACAATTAACAGATACCAAGAGTCTTACACTTAAAGAGGAACAAGTAACAGACACCAAGAGTCTTACACCTAAAGAGAAACAATTAACAGATACCAAGGGTCTTACACCTAAAGAGGAACAAGTAACAGATACCAAGAGTCTTACACCTAAAGAGGAACAAGTAACAGATACCAAGTGTCTTACACCTAAAGAGGAACAAGTAACAGATACCAAGAGTCTCGTACCTAAATAGACTCAAGTTACAGATACCAAGGGTCTTACACCTAAAGAGGAACAAGTAACAGATACCAAGAGTCTTACACCTAAAGAGAAACAATTAACAGATACCAAGAGTCTTACACCTAAAGAGGAACAAGTAACAGATACCAAGAGTCTTACACCTAAAGAGGAACAAGTAACAGATACCAAGAGTCTTACACCTAAAGAGAAACAAGTAACAGATTGATAAGTCTCGTGCTTGTGGAGAATTACAGTTAGAAAAAGTCTTGCAACTGAATAGAAACAAGTTACATGTAGCAAAAGTCTTGTACCTGAAAAGAAACATGTAATAAGTACTAAAAGTCTCATAATTGAAGAGAAACAAGTTACAGGTACCAAAAGTCTTATACCTGAAGTGAAACAAGTAACAGCTCCAAAACTTTCATACTTGAAGAGAAATAAGTTACAAGCAGGAAAAATCTCATAGCTAAACAGAAATATTAGAGGTTGGAAAAGCATACACCTAAATCTGAACAAGTTATGGACCACAACAGTCCATACATAATCCAAGAAAGTATAGAGAAGAATGTTATATACCTGAACCTAAATTCACCTTCTCCATCTTCAGTTTCTTCATCACTTGCTTCTTCTGGAGAAACAAAAACAACCTCCATAGCAATCTCTCCTTCCTATATTAGACATGTTGAAATGAAACTTTACTGACAGTTTGTTTTAGTTTACATGATGAAGAAAATAAATAATAATTAACTAAATACCCATTTCCTTTGATGGCACACCAACTATATCCTATCACTTAGGTAATACATTTAACATCAAATGTAGCCTTGAAATCGCTATTTCTTACACTTGTATACAGTTTAAAACAGTGGAAGTTGATTATATTTAGAAATATTTTCGGCAAAGTATACTTTTAGGTAATAAAATGCTACAACAATATGCAAGTTGATACTAATATCACATCAGACTGTTAAAATATCCAGAATACTTTACACACTACATTTCTGAAAGTGCACTATCAGCTGCTATATGACTTGATTTATCATAAATTACAGAATTACATGCATAGGCTATAAAGTCACAGAAACATTTGGATTCAGAAGAATATGGAGAACCATTGAAACAAGTTATTTTTTTAATTCTGAGAAGAATTCGAGGTGATGTTTTGAAATTTAAACTTTACACTTCACATAAGTGAGATATTAACCAGAACACAATCATTAAACTGTTTTTTAAAAGTATAAAAAACTGAAATAAGCACTTCTTTGCTTTATTTGTTAGTGAATGTTATAGCTTCACTACTTTGTCTTCAAAACAACTAGTAAAATATAGTTTGTGTGAAGACTTATAAAGCAGTACTACACACATCAGTTTTCTGACATAAAGTGATAAAAGTTTCCTGGCAACTGCTCTTCTGCAGTGTAAAAATAATTTAACAAGGTCATTCATGTCATTAGCTTTGAAACTGTAACAAGTATTGTAACATTCCAATTCTGTGGCTTTGATTGGCTCACTAGCGACAAGCACAGTGCAATGGAAGTTGACAGCATACTTCTGCACATCTTTTTCATACAAACAATTTTTAGATTAACCCTTTTGAGACAGGTCACAGGTGAAAGACTATGTCATCTCGTTTGTTGACTCGCATTCAACATTTTATTCAACTACTATATCATGAATTTATATCAATAAGTTTGGTATCAAACTATATATATTATAATTCAAATTTTAGAACTACACATTACTCAATTTGTTAATTTAAAAGTAAATACTAAAAAACACAGACAAGCATCGATTTTGTGTGTCATGTGGCACGTTGAATTCAGCACTGGTTCAAAATAGATATTTGTGAAGTCAAAATACTAAGTCTATAGTTTCATACGAATTAGAAACTCAAATTACAGATATTGACAAGCTAGAATATAAAATAAGAGGGTCTTATCTTTTCTCTTTGCTAAGATATTGCTCACATAATAAATCAAACATAGTGGCACCCTGCTCACCTCCTTCCATTTTTGGAAATGCTCCCTTATATACACTTACTTCTACATATGACAGAATAACCAATCGGAAGCTCAGTATGTCCCCTACTTGTTTTCTCAGGCTTTCTAACGTACCTAGCACCATTCCTTTCTTTTAAACCAAGATTTCAATGAGGTAGGTTGTCTTTAGTCTGCTCGAAATTTCATATATTTTTAGACCCAAATACAGCTTAGATACTAAGTTTGATAAATTATAGTAGAATTGTATGGCATTGATTTACTACTTTATGATTTTGTAGTTATTCAAAAGTATATATAAAACCTAAATAAAATATTTTGTTTCATATCCTTTATGTGCAAAATTTTCAAAGGCTTAGCAACCTACAGCAGGCAGCAACCGAGTACAAAGGTTGTAACTAGAAGAGACAATTGTTTGCTTTACTTCT